CCTTTTAAAGTATTTCGGAAGTAAACCGTCGAGTCAGACTGTTTTCCTGTGTTTCGTTTTTGAAAAAGTCTCGAGTTCAGTGAAAGCTGAGAGACCAGTATATACGACCCATTCAGGCTGACTGTATGGTTAACGAGTGAAGCCTGGCAGTAGGCCAACCGACAGATCACGCAACTGAGTGGCTTAAGACGTTATCAGATATGGCTCAGAATCAAAACCAGTGGCAGTTATGCTGTAGCTTCCTCCTACCTTTTGCTACTGAAAAGTAACGAATGTTTCATTCGAATGTACCTTACTGGACTGTCCTAATCATTATATTCTTATTATCTTATTTTTATCCACTTCCCTTTGCTTTATGTTTTCGTAATGTTATTATATTACTTTGTTGCCCTTGCTGTATCACCTTTGTATTCTAGTAATAATAAAGCCAGCTGAGGTGTTTTCTAAACTAATTCGCCTCATCACACACCACCTGTTTTAGAAGGTTATCAACGCTTAATTTAGATTTCACATGCTAGAAGCTCGCATATGAAGTTGTTATCACAATTTAATTGTCTAAAAACATCCTTTGCTGGTATGAATTTTTATCAATAGACACAGAGTAAGAAGTTAAAGAAACTGTTTGTGGCGGGATGTTAGCGATGAGATGAGTCAGTAAGAACAGAGAAGAACAAAAACAAGGGTACGTGATGATTAAATGGGTTTTATTGTGCTTTCTGAAGCATCCACACCATAAGAGTTGATGATATTTGAAGCAAATAAGGGAGAAATTTCGTTAATTCTGCCTGATCGCAAGCCCCAAAAATGTCTGCTTGACCCCAGTTACACATGGGTGTTCTAAAGTTGTTTGCACCTGTAGTGTCTGTAGTTGAAACAACTTATCGCCAACTACAGTAATCAGTAGCGTAAGGGCTTTCGGTTATTGCAATATGCAAATTATGCCACCATGTCAAGGTAACAGCTGTCAGTTGGGGACTCCTTAGCCATATTGACGGGTCTACAGCAATTAGCAAAGATGTTCTCGTTTATTAATTATTTCAACAAGGAATTTTAACAAACTCAACTAATAAGCTAGTAACAGCTACATGTTTTATCAACCCTAAAAGAAACTAATAATAATAATGGCTTTGCTAACATTGGAGTGAAGGCTAAAGCAAACAAATCTTTGAAAAACGACCATAACGAGTGAGACATGTTTGGACTTCTCAATGTTAGGAAAGGGTAACGGCAACGCATCTGTCAGATCACGATAGCAATAATTATCTCAATGTAAACGGGTGTCATATGCAATGTTATGTAGAAGCGAGCCAACACATTTCAGTAGCAACTCTAACTTTTAACCGAGAGAGGTGAAGAACAAGTGCATGTGGATGGCAGATTAGTGATCAACAGGCTTAAATGGGGGTAAGGTACTCGTAAATATCCCTAAGTATATCCAAAGGGCTAGTTAGTTGAGTTACCTTACAATGATGATATGTTGTCAGAAGTAACTGTAACGATTAGGGAAACAAACTTGGAGGTAAACAGCTGGTCTTTAAATATATCACAAATGCCAGCTACTCAGTCAAAAAGTTAGACACTGATACTTTATCCACATCTGAATGGACTAAAGCGGGTAACTACATAAACTGACTACAAACATTTGAAGATGGTAAGCAGGTTGAATATATATATATATATATATATATATATATATATATATATATAACACTTACTTTGTACTTTCCTTAAAATCTTGAACGTTTTACTACTCACCATATCCCCTCTACTCATATCTACTTACTATTCTTTTACTTCTGCCGGTTTCGTCTCCGTTTATCAGGACCATGAGAATCTGAAACCCCTTTTCGCAGTGTCACACTTTTGCATTGAATTATCAACTTTACACCATTGCTCTACATGTTAAAGCCTATTTCCATAATCAATGTCTGAGCACTCGATTACACTAGGCATCACAACACTGATGCGGCTTATAGTTTAATGCGTTAAGCTATACAGGACTATCTAGTATTACCCGAATTTTCCCGTGACATTCAATACGAAACTGTTTTGTTCAAACACCTATACGATCAGTTATATCATCTTTCCAGTGATTTCCCTTTGAAGAAAAGTAACAACCTATATCACGGTACTA